GATACAGCAATCTGTATACGGGGTAAAATTGGGAGTTCATAACCCACTTGAATCAAACTGTGAAATATGATGTATTAAGAACTATGTAATGTTTTGAACGACCAACAATAAAAAAAATGTAAAAAAAAAGAAAATATATTACATATTTTTGTGTGCATATAAAATTACATGTGAATGGAAAACAATTCCTCTCCTTTCTCTGGAGTTGCTGGTGCTCTTGAGGCAAGGGCTAGAATCCACAAAAGATGGTGTGCTGGTGTCTGTCTTGTGTTAATGAGAAAAGAATACCATTTTTGTGGGACTAAGGATTAAACCCAGAGGAGCTCTATCTTTGAGCTACATTCCCAGCCCTGTTTTTGTTTTATTTTGAGACAGGGCTTTGCTGAGTTGCTGAGGTTGGCTTTGAACTCGGAATCCTCCTGCTTCAGCCTCCTGAGTTGCTGGGATTAAGGTGTGAGCCATCATGACCAGCAAGAATAACTTTTTAGTGAGCTTTGGAGTGTACTAGACACAAACTACATATTTTGTCTTATTAAATCATCACAACATTATGAGGGAGTAGGTGTTATCATCTCATTGTATGGATAAGGAAACATGGGTGGAGAGGTTCAATAATTTGTGAAAGGACATAGGATTGGAGCCTAGGTCTGCATGAGCTGATGCTATTTTCACTACATCACAGGTGACTGGGAACAGGTTGAAATTGGAGGCAAGGCTGGAGAAACCTTGGGCATCACACATCAGAATGTAGAGTGACCAAACTAAGTATTGTAATATTTTTTTTGTTTACTATCAATGTCACATACTGTACCAATAGCAGGTATAATTGCCTGAGAACTGTAAATGCAAATTGTAATAAATCAGACCTTTAAATCAAGGACTCCTATATTTGTTCATGTTAAGGTAAGAAGTGACCTATACATCATTTTTTTTTGTCCCTATCATGGATGTTTATTTTCTAACTTGACTGAGATCCACAGACTCCTCCATCTCCTCCAGAGATCCTCCATCTCCAATACATTTCCAGTGGTACAATTTCAGGTATCAACCCAAACAACAATAGAGATATTTTATTGTGCAGAGATGCAAGGAGGGTTCAGGAAATTCTTTTTTTAAAAAATGTTTTAGTTGTAGACAGATACAATACCTTTATTTTATTTATTTTTATTTTTATGTGGTGCTGGGGATCGAACCTAGTGCCTCACGCATGCTAGGCAAGAATTCTACCACTGAGCCACAACCCTGGCCCCATGGAAATTCTTAAATTGCCTAAATTAAATTAAATATGCAATTGCTTCTTTGCCTCCATGTGCTGACAATTTTGACTGTAGGAGAACAGTAGTCTTTACTGATACACAAAGAATGCTTGGGAAATGGTTTTTGAAGTTCATTTTGGGACAGAGCTTTTTAGATTCCTTGAAGCAACTATGAAATATTTATTAGGAGATAGAAATTTAAACTAAAATATCTCTCTTTCCCCTTTTTACCCTTTTTTTGCAGCAAAGTCAAAATGGAAAGACCATTCCTTCAAAAACCAGCAGCACAAATGTGAAGGGATATTTTTTCCTATTGTAACTCTGAGGCCTGGGGCCAACAGAATGAGCTCAGAGAGCCTCCTCCCTTCTCAACAGCTTAGGCTCATTTTCATTGGGCTTTGTCTACTGTCTTTGGTAGAGTCATATGGGTTCCGCAAATGCACACAGTATGAATTAAACATTCGCCACGTGTTCTGCATTCGGAAGGAGATCACCAACTTGACAGATGCCATTGGTGACATCCCTAGATACACTACTCACCTCAATCTGACACAAAACCAAATTCAGGTCCTTCCTCCCCATAGCTTTGCTAATTTGTCTGCCCTGGTGGACTTGCGCCTGGAATGGAATTTAATTTGGAAGATTGATAAGGGTGCCTTTAAGGAACTTGGAAACCTGACCTTTCTGAATTTAGTAGAAAATAAGATTGAAAGTGTGAACAACTCCTTTGAGGGACTGTCCAACTTGGAGACTTTGCTCCTGAGCCATAATTTTATTACTTATATTCACAAAACTGCCTTTGTACCTCTTGTCAAATTGAAACATTTAAGCCTGTCTCGAAACCATATCACCAATTTTTCCAATATTCTTGAAGCAGTCCAGCATCTTCCATGCCTGGAATACCTTGACCTTACTAATAACAATATCATATCCTTGGACCATAACCCAAGGTCATTGGTCTCCCTGACCCATCTCAGCCTTCAGGGAAACAAACTAAAGGAATTAAATTTCTCTGCTTTGTCACTGCCTAATCTGACGACTCTGGATGTCTCTCAGAATAGACACCAAGTCATCCAGAATGTGGATCTGGAAACTCTACCCCAACTGAGGAGCTTGAATCTGAGTGGAACACTGGTGAAACTGGAGATGCTTCTAGCCAAGTACCTGCAGAATCTAAGAGAAATGGACCTCACTAAGCTGGACCTTAGAGGTGGTCACTTAAACTTGAATACAGTATGTTGCCTCCTGAAAAACTTACCCACACTAGAAGCATTAGTTTTTCAGAAAAATGCCATGGATGCAGGGGACATAAAGCATCTTGCCAATTGCACCAGGCTTTTGTCCCTTGACCTGAGCCAAAACAATGATCTGGTTCATCTCAATGACAATGAATTTGTTGCTATGCCCAGCCTCCAAAGTCTGCATCTAAACAAGTGCCAGCTTTCCTTCGTCAGCAACAAGACTTGGGGTTCCCTCCAGAACTTGACAGCCCTATACCTGAGCCATAACAAGTTTAAAAGCTTTCCGGATTTTGCATTTTCACCTCTGAAAGGCCTACAGTCTCTGTTTCTCTCTAAAAACCCCATCACAGAACTCAATCATATGGCCTTCCATGGGCTAGATTTGTTGAAGGAGCTCAACTTAGCTGAGTGCTGGATAGTAATGATTGACAGTTCATCCTTTGTTCACTTGACAAATTTAGAGAGCTTAGATCTTAGACTCAACAATATTCATACTCTGAAGCAGAGAACCTTTCAATTTCTGAAAAAGCTCAAAGTTCTGATTCTCTCCAGGAACCGCCTAGAAGTTATAGAGGAGAATGCATTTTTTGGTCTCACTCACCTATATTATCTTGATCTGGCATACAATAGCTTGTCAGGTTTTCATTTAAAACTTTTCTTGGGCCTTGAAAATTTAGAAGTGTTGAATCTCAGTTATAATAGGATTACATATGAAACCACTAGGACCTTGCAATTTCCTCCATTCAAGAACCTCAAGTCTTTGAAACAACTCAACCTTGAAGGACAAAATCATGGGATTCAGGTTGTTCCAACCAACTTCTTCCAAGGGCTGAATTGCTTGCAGGAACTATTCCTAGGAAAAAATTCCATGATATTCCTGGATCACCTCCAATTTGACCCCCTGGTTAATCTCACAAAATTGGATATCTCCGGAACAAAAGCTGGGGACCGAAGTCTCTATTTAAATACTTCCTTATTCCAAAAACTCAAAAGACTGAAGATGCTGCGCCTTGAAAACAACAACATGGAGTCACTGACTCCTGGCATGTTCTCTGGCTTAGAAAGCCTTCAGGTCTTCTCTTTAAGATTCAACAATCTGAAAGTCATTAATCAAAGTCATTTGGAGAATCTGAAGTCTTTGATGTACTTTGATCTCTATGGGAACAAACTTCAGTGCAACTGTGACAATATGTGGTTCAAAAACTGGTCAATAAACACAGCAGTTGTCCATATCCCCTATCTCGGGAGCTACCCCTGTCATCAGCCAGATACCCAGAGTTTGTTGATAGATTTTGATGATGCCATGTGTAATTTTGACCTTGGAAAGATCTACTTCTTCTCTTCCTTCAGCCTGGTCCTCACAACCATGGTCTTCTCTTGGTTCAGTGCCAAGATTATTTCATCTCTATGGTATGGGCTCTACATATTTCGAGCCTGGTACCTAGCTAAATGGCACAGGACAGAGAAGGAATTCATCTATGATGCCTTTGTCTCTTTCACTGCCACTGATGAGCAGTGGGTATATGAAGAGCTTGTTCCAGCCCTAGAAGATGGTGGCCAGCCCAAATTTAAGCTCTGTCTTCACCACCGGGACTTTGAACCAGGTATGGACATCTTTGAAAACATCCAGAATGCCATTGATACCAGCCGGAAGACTTTGTGTGTGGTCAGTAACCACTACCTCCACAGTGAATGGTGTCGGCTTGAAGTACAACTGGCCAGTATCAAGATGTTCTATGAGCATGAGGATGTTATTATCTTGATCTTCTTGGAAGAGATCCCAAACTATAAGTTATCCAGCTACCACCGACTCAGGAAACTTGTGAACAGACAGACGTTTATTACTTGGCCAGACAATGTTCATGAGAGGCCACTCTTCTGGGCTCGTATTAGAAATGCCTTGGGCAACAGAACTGTGGAGAAAGACAATGCACAGCTAATAGTGGCTGAGTGACTTAAAGTCTTATAACCTCAAATCCAACTGTATAATGTTGCCCAAGATATGTGTAGGATAAGAGTCTGACTATTCTCCAGGCATAAGAACATGCATGGATTGGTCATGACCATAAGACCAGGACTATTTGAATAATGTTCTTCAGGCAACTGGAAGAGTGAAGGGGACTGCCTGAAGAAGCTTCAGGAACCAGGTCCCACCATTAGGGGATTAGATATCTGGAAGGAACACCTGTATTTTCAAGGGGAAGGCTTGAAACACCAGTCACTGAAATTCTGGGAACCAGGAAGGCTCTGATATATGCTTGATCATTGCTCAGTTAGTTTCTCCAAACCAGTTTCTGTTTAGATTGAATGGTACTCCTTTTAAGAACCTCTAACAACAGAAACACAATCAATAGGGTTTAGTAAAAGAAAAAAACTAATAAAACAAAAAGCAAAACAATAAAAACAACAAAAATGTAAAAATAACAACAGCAGGAAAGTTAAGTTTGTGTCATATTACCCTTTAGGGCATAAGACTCCAAATGCCAGCTTTTCCTCTAAGTCAGATTGTAAGAGCTAGGAGAATCCCAGTTTGGATCTGTGTATTTACTTAGTGGAAAGGAGGCTTGATGAGGTAGCAGAGCAATGATGCTTGTGGAAATTATTCCCCAGGTGGAGCAAAGCAGCTTCATAGAGCAGCTTTTGTCAGCCATCTTAAGACAGGTGTGTAGATTCCAATGGCTGTGTGTTTCAGGCAATGTCTATTGAAAACAACACTCAGCATAGGATGTCTCTGGAATTAGATAGTCTTGTAGACAGAAAATTTTTAACAGAAAAATGCTCCAAAGGCCTACAACAAGAGAGACCATAGAAGAACAGTTTATAGTTTATAAATTATAGTTTATAGTCACATGCCCTTGAGGTTGCCTTTTTCTGATTTTTTTTTCCTCCAGGAAGGTTTTGTCTTCCTTCTCAAGTTTTCTCCTTATCCTTAAATTCCTGGGGCAGTGAGGGGGGGTTGCTGAGGAAAAGGTCTTAAAGGGCAGAATTTTTTTATTGACTGGGATAGCCAGATGTCTACCTCAATGGGTCCTCACCTGCCCTCTCAGTAACATAAATGACTCTTCGGTATAAAGAGAGGTGCGCATGTTTTGGATGGAACTTTTGTTAGTGACGAAATCCAAAAGCATTTGTTTTTGAAATTGTGTGCCATTAGCTGGGGGCTTTTGGGTTAAATTCTACATTGCAGCAGGAAAAAAAAATTTCCATGGGACATGTAAGAACTATCACATTTCTGAATTTTATTTAAATCCAATAGTCTGATTTTAAGTCCCTGTTTGGTTAGACTGGGGGAAATTTTTAATATCTATCATTATCAGTTTCTCTCCCCTTCCCTACTAGCCTCTAATATTCTTACATAAAGAAAAAAATTTCCCCAATCTTTGTTCCAAATGATTGCCACTTGTGTGCCCAAACTGAATCCCTGACGTCTAAGGGCCTTCTTACTTCTGGGTAATGCTTGACACTGAAATTGCGCACAGTCTTTTTTTTTTTTTTCCCTTAAGTCTGTCACGTTCCTGGGCATGGTGTGGGTCATGGGTGCCAACCACTAAAGGAAACTGCAGACTTCTATTTCTTTTCCTAGTCTTGGGTAATCTTCACTTCTCTGGTTGTTTCAGCCACCTCTCCACTTCCCTTTTAACCTCACAGTTGCCTTCTTCTCTCTCCACCCTGCACATCAGAGAGAAGAGAGGTTGTATTCAAATAATCTCAGCAGGCACAGGGACACATTCCCTTTGACTGGGTGGAAGTATAATTCACTTCCCATTATTACTGATTTTTCCATGGCAGGGAAAACAAATCATAAACTAATATTTAACATAGCACAACACAACATATATAATATAATTAGCATACAAAAACTAAGATCACTGGGCAGCATGCTGATTGATGGCAGTCTAGGATTCCTTGAAACTACAGAGTGTGACATGAGGGGCACAATGCCATGAATAGGGTGTCAGGAAAGATAAATAATTACTTGAACTGGTTTGTTTTTTGCAAGAATGAACAATCATGCTGGAATAGAGACTAAATTTTATATGCATGTTTTAGGAAACTAGATGAACTGGATCTTCTGTGCATTCAGGATAGGCTGAATATAGATTGCAGGACCCAGTGTAAGATGTAAATATGGTGACACTTGTTTCAAAATCATTCAGATTTTCAAGATAGAGATGGAAGAGCATTTGACCAAGCACAGAGAACTTCTGAGTCTGAGGCCCTGTGTGAGGGCACTGGTTACTTGCCCATGAAGTTGCCCTTACTTGTGACTATAAGATGCCTTTCATAACTTAAATCTGCAGATAGGGAATTAGTGGGGATTTCCAAAGGACATATCTATTAATATAGTAAAAGTATGATTGCAGCCAGGTGTGATGGTGCACACCTGTAATTCCAGAGACTTGGGAAGCCAAGGCAGGAGGGTTGCAAGTTCAAGGGCAACATCAGTAACTTAGTGAGACCTTGTCTCACAATAAAAATAAAAAGGGCTGGGGATGTAGCTCAGTGGTAAAGTGCACCAGATTTCCATCGTCAGTACAAAAATAAAAATAAAACAGTTATGACTGTTTTCTTGAACAAAATGATGTCTCCAGCCTGAACTGATCTAAGAATTGGGATTGTGGTTGATATTAAAAAGAAATACTGAGGGAGGAGAGAAGAAAGGGGAAATATGGGGGAATAATATTGACTAAATTATATATATATATATATATATATATATATATATACACACACACACACACACACAAATGAATCCCACTATTATGTAATAGTGCATCAATAAAACTATGGAAAAAATTTAAAATTTAGGGGGGAAAAACAATAATACCATTGCCATCAAGACAAAATGATGACACTGTCATTCTTGTTTTATTCATGGAAGGGATGGGGCTGAAATTCAAAGTATATAAATTATAGAAGGATTTGAATTATGTCTGTTATATGTGTCAAATATTTACTGCTGGGTGCAGTGGCACATACCTGTAATCTCATTGACTGGGGAGGCTAAGACAGGAGAATCACAAGTTTGAGGCCAGGCTTAGCAATTTAACAAGGTGCTAAGCAACTTAGTGAGACCCTGTCTCAAATAAAAATAAAAAGGCTGGGGATGTGGCTCAATGGTTAAGTGCCCCTGGGTTCAAACTCCAGTACTACAAAAATAAAAAAAACTACTTAGCCAGGATATGGGGAAATTCATTTTATAGATCAAATTACTAGAATTCTAAGAACTTTTAGATGAAGTGTTTGGGGCTCTAACAATATCTGGAAATTATTATATTGTTAATTGCTCTATCAAACAACCTGAAATAACAAGAGGTTAATTATAACAGAAAAATTAGATTAGTAAAGGAAAATTTCCTGCTAGTAAATGTGGAAATATGTTACATCTAATTTTATTAAAAGGAACCAAAATTTTCTACCCCATGAATACTGCAAAAAAAAAAAAGAACTTCTTTGTTAGGAACCATTTATTTTGTTATTTATTTTTATGTGGTGCTGAGGATCAAACCCAGTGCCTTACAGGTGTGAGGCAAGTGCTTGCTCTAACACTGAACCAGAACCCCAGTCAGAGGAACCATTTATATGTGGCCCACCTGGATGATTTTCAAGCTCATCTTCCAAACCAGAATTTCACTGCCAGTTCTGTATTTGTGGAATTGGGGTAATGAATATACATATTGAATAAGTTTCCTTGAAACCATGCATTTCCTCTTAATAATAGGATTAGTGATTGGGTTGAAAAGGCAGAGTCAAAATGACTTCTTCCACTTACAGTGTGATCCACACACCCACAGCATCAGTATTATCTGGGTGCTTGTCAGAAATGCAAAACCCTGGGCCTACCTCAGGCCTACTGAACCAGAAGCTGCCTGTTAACAAGTTGATAACAAGTACCCCAGGTGATTCCTATGAACATTAAAATTTGAGAAACACTGAGTTAAGCAATTACATACATCAAGGAAACTCTGGAAAGATTCTCCTATTCTCCAAATTCTACTCCTCTTATGTGACACAGTGATCAAAATGTAATCATTAACTGTCCTTTGGATTACTCTTAATATCTCTTTAAAGAGTTATGAGGCTGTCTCTCCCTCTTCAGATTACCTCCATTCTCTCTTGAATACATATCTACATTCCTATATAAACTTCTGCCTATGCCTTTCAAAAACAACAAAAAGGAATAGCAGTAACGGATTGGGATGTGCCTCAGTGGTAAAGCAATTGCCTTGCATACACGAAGCCCTGGGTTCTATCCCCAATTCCAATAAAAAAAGACAAAGTAACAACAAACAATAACAGTAATTATAATGTAATTTTAAGGATGTGTAGTCTTTTTTACTGTTTTCAAAGCATTTTTAAAAATCTTTATTTTGTTTATTCATTTTTATGTGGTGCTGAGGATCAAACCCAGTGCCTCACATGTGCTAGGCAAGCACTCTACCACTGAGCCACATCCTCAGCCCTCAAAGCATTTTTATACCTATAATCTCACTTGATTCCTTTATCATGGGTAACCCACTAATCCAATGTACTCTAATCATCCTATAAATAAGTATGAAGTTATGTCAATAATGTCATTTTAAAAGCCAAGAAATAGGTAGAAATCTGAATAAATTATGAGTACAAAATAGACATAAGATGTAATAGTTACAATATAAAATATAGTGAGGATATATTTCTAAAACAATATACCATAGCCACAGAATCCCAGGAGGGGTATCCGGGCATGGTGGTGCGTGCTTGTAATCCCAGCGGCTTGGGAGGCTGAGGCAGGAGGACCATGAGTTCAAAGCCAGCCTCAGCAAAATCAAGGTGCTAAGCAACTCAGTGAGATCCTGTCTCTAAAAAATACAAAATGGGACTTGGGAGGTGGCCAGTGAGGTCAAGTGCCCCGAGTGCAATCCCTGGTACCCCCCCCCCAAAAAAAAATCCCAGAAGGGCTCTTTATCATTG